AAGAAACTGCGACAAATTCCTTTTATCGTGTTAGCGCTATGTGTCCCTGCAAAATAATAAAAACAAAAGTCAGTCCAGAACGATTTTGCGTTCTTGGTTACACTACAAAGAGAAGATCAACTAAAAGATTTCAAGGTTAGGAAAGGGATTTCTTAAACTCATCAATAATCCATCAAGTTTAAAGAAAGGAAATTATGGCCGTATCTGATCTTAATTAGCATATATTTTAACGATTTTATTTCCCCGTTTTCTCCTTAGTTCTAGTTTCGATTGAGAAGATATAATTTATTAAACACCAAAGAGAGTGTCTGAAAACATTTCCAAACACTTCGAAGTTCGTCAAAAATACTCCGCTACGTGTCGTAATTTTCAACTCTCTTCTTTCCAGTTTTGGAAATGTGGTCAAACAGTCTTTTGTGTGTGATATAATTATTACTTGAAGTGAAAAGACGTCACACGAGATATTGCTTGAATCTCGCAGAAGAGTTCCTTTTTCATGCAGAGAATGCATTGAACCAAACTTTAACAGACTGGTGTTTAGAAAACAGGCAGGTCATAAAACGCGTAACGCTGGGTCGACTCTGGGAAATTTCCCGCGTTCACCAGCACCAGTCGTTACCATGACGAAAAACATGTGGGTTACCTAGCAACTATACTGACCAGTAAAAGATCCACTGCAGGCTCAAGTTAATATATTTATGCAGTACTGTTGTAGCTGTACTGACCTGGAAGAGACAGCGTTCGCTTGCTGTGTTCTATTCGGTGTAGAGCGGCGACTGGAAGCTTGTCTTTGTCGAGCTAAGAAGGACATTCCACCTGTGTTCCCTGATAACCTCTCCTCGGCAGCTTTCCTGTGAAGCTGCATGCCCTGGAAAAACATTATAACTCATTATAACATGGCTTTGCACCTTCTATGATTCATCTTATTCTCGGTATTGGACTGAAACTAGCTAGAAAGTGAGGCTAGCGGGAAGTCAATCTCTTTGTAATGATATTCTCCCTCGTGAGCCTCAATTGCAAGCTAGGTCCAGTCCACTACCGAGAATACGAATATGGCCTCATTACTTTGAAAGTCTAAGGCAATCTGTAGACTCAAGGACTTAAACAATTTTCTTCTGAGACTGAACGTGATTGTCATAAGAATTAGCTGTCAAAGGAGCTTAACGGGGTTAAAACGGAAGTCCATTTTTGTTTTTCGTTTGTTTGTTTTAGTTTGGGCAAAAAACGAAAAACGATAAAACAGAAGTCCATTTTTGTTTTTCGTTTGCTTGTTTTAGTTTGAGCAAAAAACGAAAAACGATAAAACGGAAGTCCATTTTTGTTTTTCGTTGTTTTGCTTTAGTTTGGGCAAAAAACGAAAAACGATAAAACGGACGTTGATTTTGGTTTTTCGTTTTTTTGGTTTAGTTCGGGCAAAAAACGAAAAACGATAAAACGGACGTTGATTTTTGTGTTTCGTTTATTTGTTTTAGTTCGGGCGAAAAACGAAAAACGATAAAACGGACGTCGGTTTTTGTTTTTCGTTGTTTTGTTTTAGTTTGGGCAAAAAACGAAAAACGATAAAACGGATGTTGATTTTTGTTTTTGGTTTTTTTGTTTTAGTTCGGGCGAAAAACGAAAAACGATAAAACGGACGTGGATTTTTGTTTTTCGTTTGTTTGTTTTAGTTTGAGCAGAAAACGAAAAACGATAAAACGGAAGTCCATTTTTGTTTTTCGTTTTTTTGTTTTAGTTTGGGCAAAAAACGAAAAACGATAAAACGGACGTTGATTTT